TAGTGTGTCTTTCGCATGATATGAATATAAGTGCATAAGAATACTAGAATTATTTTCTTTATAAGATATTAAAAATAGAACAATAGGATTGCCTTCAGGGTATTCATTGCTGATGTCAATGAATCCTTAAAGAAGTATGCATTTTGTTTATATATACTTTTCAGCAACCTTGGCCAGTTGACTTGAACTTCTCTGAATCTCAGCTTCTAATCTGCAAAAGTATAAATTTATATATGGGTTAAGTTATTTCTGTGTGCTTTTAAGTCAAAGTAAATCATTTATTAAATTCAACAGTGCTAAAAGATATACTTTGAAACGTGCTTCTTTTCTATTCTTTATTTCTAGTTTTCTATCTTCTTGTGTCAAGGCAACCACTCTTAGCAGTCTTTTGTCCTTCCAGAAGGATCCATTATATATTAAAATGTTGATCTTGTGGTTAGCAGCCCAAAGCATAACCAGTATGCCACCAGAGCACCAAAACAATGTGATAGAGGCTTTAAAAAGTTTAGGGAAATAAAATTAGATTTTTTTCATAAACTTTTTGAAGCCCCCTCATATATGTAATATATATCTATATATATTGCATATATATATATTACTGCAGGGTTTTTGTCATTGAAATTACAAAACAACTAGTATATTAGAATACAATATACTTTTAAATTACAGATGTTGGCTCCTTTCTTGTCATAAGGAAAAGAACTTTAGAATTTGTTTTTATTTTATCGTGTGAAACATAGGCTCCCACACTTATTTGGCCTACCTCCCTATTTACAGAAAAACAGTTACTCAGTGCCCCTGGCAATTATACTGTTGTACTATAGGCCACAATCTAGAGTAAAATGTTAGGTATTGCTTTAGCAGCTCTTCTGGATGTTAGCACCCACTTTGGGAAACATTGGCTTAAAATATTGTTAATTAGCAAATACAAAGTGTGCATATTCATATATAAGTAGAAAATAAATTGTTTTTTCAAAACTTAATAATTACTTATTTATTACTGGTTATTTTAGATTATTCTTTATCGTGATGTTTTATTCCATTAGCCCAGTGGTACTTAACCAGAAGTGACTTTACCCCCAGGTAACAATGAGATCATCTGGAGACAGTTTTTGGTGGTAACAACTTGAGGATGCTACTGGCATCTGCTTGATAGAAGCCAGTGATGCGGTTAGACATCCTACAAAAAAGCAACAAATAATTAGCCCAAGATATCTGTAACCTTGCATTGGTGTAAATACTGAGTAAAATCATGGCCTTTCTTATTCTTTATTTATAGCATCTTATGACTTGATAATTTAAATCTAAAATCATCCTAGGTTAGGTGTTATCTATGTACAGATGTATACATCTTTCTTTGCCTCACATTCTAATCTTAAAATATTTAAATTAAACCAGTTAGATATTACTGTTGGCCTTTGCTTTGCAAAATGTTAGCATAATTAAAAACATATAACCAACATAACAGAGACGCTATTCTTAAACTAAAATGTTGAAAGTGATTCTCCACTGTGTACAATCTGCTTTGCTCCATTGAGGTTTGACCCGTGCCTATTGTGGAGTCATGGAAGGCTGAAATTTATACAGCTCTCTGCCAGGTGGTCAGGTAGCAGCTAAAACGAACAGGCTGCAAGTTAGTAAATGTGGTGCTAGATTTAAGTCCATACAATATGACTCTACAAAGTCTGTGCTTTGACCTTTATACTGTAATATCTCTCATTACCACTACTATAACCCTCACCCTCCCAGCAAGTTAAAATGTCTAGAAAACCCATTGCCCTAAAGTGGGTTCCAACAGAAAGGAATCCTATAGGACAGAGTATATAGCCCATAGCATTTCAAAGGCTATAAATCTTGATAGAAGACTGCCACTTATTTCTGCCACAGAGAAACACTAGCTGGTAGGCTCCAAACACCAACTTTCCGATTAGCAGTTGACTGCTTTAACCACTGTGCCATGAGTGTTCCTAGAATGTTTAGAAAATTTTGTATACTAGGAAAATGGTCCAGTGATTTGCAAGTCATTCATGAACAGTAGATTTTTTAAACCATAGAGTTGTTCTAGAGATGTAGTGCAGGGTGACCTAAAGAGTTCAGGATTCAACTTTGGATATTACCAACACTGTAGAAACTCATGAAGTAGAGGAGCCTGCATAATTGAGTAAGAACTAGACAGAGAAATGAGAAAACCAGGATTAGAAAATCAAGTCAGATCCGCTTACGGAAGGGTCGTGGGGAAGAGATGGGTCAGTTAGGGTGCAGTATAGCAATGATGAAACATACCACTTTCCTCTAATTCTTTAATACTTCCTCCCCCGCACTAACATGATCCCATTTCTACCTTACAAATCTGGCTAGACCAGAGGATGTACACTGGTGCAAATAGTACTGGAACACAGGGAATCCAGGACAGACAAGCCTCTCAGGACCAGTAATGAGAGTAGTGATATCAGGAGGGTGGAGGGAAAGTGGGGTCAAAAGGGGGAACCGATCACAAGGATCTACATATAACCCCTTCCCTTGGGGCTGGACAACAGAAAAGTGGGTGAAGGGAGATGTCGCGGACAGTGTAAGACAAGACAAAATAATAATAATTTATAAATTATCAAGTGTTTGTGAGCGAGGGGAAAATATAAGGAGCTGATACCAAAGGCTCAAGTAGAAAGCAGATGTTTTGAGAATGATGATGGCAACAAATGTATAAATGTGCTTGACACAATGGATGGATGTATGGATTGTGATAAGAGTTATAAGAGCCCCTAATAAAATTATTTAAAAAGAAAAATAAGTCAGAAGCCAAGAAGGAATGTATGGTTATTAATATTAGTGTCTTAGGGGACAATTAATGTAAGCTAGTAGTAAAGAGCCACGTCCATAAAATTAGGCTAAAAATCTACTGTTTTAAGAAGTTTTGTTGGATCACAATTTGTTTACATATTAGATGTGTTGATAAGCTTCCACTTGGAAACAGATTAGGTACTCTTAAAGAGTTAAAATAAAACCCTCAAAATATTCATGTATGCAAAAACCTTTAGGAAGGTAAAGTAGGCTTCCCTTTCTTTTTTTTTTTTTTTTTAGGCTTCCCTTTCTTAAAGGATTTTGGATGTGCTTGGGTTTGGGATAGAAATCACTGTATAGCAGCATTAAACCCTTCTGGGGTACTTCTGGTAGGCAAACACACATGGATACCTAATTAGCATAGAAATAAACTGGATGACCATTGTAGCACATAAATGGTAAGCCATGTAATTCTTTTTTGTTTGTTTGTTTAATCATTTTATTAGGGACTCATACAACTCATCACAATTCACATCCATCCATTGTGTCAAGCACATTTGTACCTTTGTTGCCATGATCATTCTATAAACATTTGCTCTCTACTTGAGCCCTTGGTATCATCTCCTTTTTACCCATCCCTCCCCACAAGCCCCTCCCTCATGAACCCTTGATAATTTATAAATCATTATTATTTTGTTGTGTCTTACACTGTCCCGACATCTCCTTTCGTCCACTTTTCTGTTGTCCATCCCCCAGGGAGGGGGTTATATGTAGATCCTTGTGATCAGTTCCCCCTTTCTACTCCACCTTCCCTCCACCCTCCCCGTATCACCACCGTCACCACTGGTCCTGAGGGGTTCATCTGTCCTGGATTCCCTGTGTTTCCAGTTCCTATCTGTATCAGTGTACATCCTCTAGTCTAGCCAGATTTTCAAGGTAGAATTGGGATCATGATAGTTGGGGAAGGAAACATTTAAGAACTAGAGGAAAGTTGTATATTTCATCGTTGCTACACTGTACCCTGACTGGTTCATTTCCTCCCCACCACCCTTCTGTAAGGGGATGTCCAATTGCCTACAGATGGGCTTTGGGTCCCCACTCCACACTCCCCCTCATTCACAATGATATGATTTTTTGTTCTTTGATGCCTGATCCCTGATCCCATCGACACCTCATGGTCACACAGGCTGGTGTGCTTCTTCCATGTGGGCTTTGTTGCTTCTCAGCTAGATGGCTGCTTGTTTTTCTGCAAGCCTTTAAGACCCCAGCTGCTATATCTTTTGATAGCTGGACTGCATCAGCTTTCTTCACCACATTTGTTTATGCACCCGCTTTGTCTTCAGTGGTTGTGTCTGGAATAAGTCATGTAATTCTTCATGATGGTGAAGAAGTTTAACAGGATTGGAGACAACTCGGAATTATTTTGTTATCAACTTTTGAATAAATTGTTCTTTTCAAAATCTAGTAATGTTTCTACATTTATCTGAAATCTTTTTTTTAAAATCTGAAATCTTAACAAAGCACTATCAAGGCAAGCCAGACACATTGTCAGTTGATGCACCATGCAATGGTTTTCTTTTAAAAAAAAAATTTTTTTATGCAAACCGCCCTCCTGCTTCCCCTCCCCCCTTTTGTCGCAATGGTTTTCTTCATGAACACTTGTATTTTAGATTAATACTCTATAGCTGACGCCTTTCACCTATTTGTTTCTCAGCAAAATTTGTTAATGTTATATTGTGTACTTAGTAAATCTCTTGGGAAAAGGCAATGCTTTCAATTGTATAGAAGCTATGGAAGGAGTCCTAATGGTTGGAAGGAGTGCATGATGGTTAAAGCCCTTAGATGTGAATCAAAAGGATGGTTTCAATTCACCAGCCACTCCATGTGAGAAAAGACTTGGTGGTCTGCTCATGTAAAGATTACAACTTAAGAACCCCTATGGGGCATGTCTACCCTATCCTATTGGGTTGCCATGAGTTTCAGTGGACTTAATGGCACACAACAACAGAAGCTTGGGCTCTTTTCCTTGAAGAAATGATGTAGTTGCTGGATGGAAGACAGATTTGGTACAAGGTGAAGAGGTATTCATCAGAGTTCTTTGTTTGCTGCCATCTCTGGATTGTCTCCTTTAATATAAAAGCTGTGTATGGGGCAGGGTGTCAGGGCAACAGCAAACTAGCTCAGAGGAGGTACCAAGAGGCAAAAAGAAGGGCAAAGTGACAATGGGGCAGGAGGAAGGTAAAAGGAAACAGGAAAGATCAAGGAAGCAAAGCAGTGGATAGAGGTATAAACATAGCGGTGTGCAGATGTAAATACATTAATCCACAAAAATAGAGGTATTGCCCATGACCATATATTTATACAGCAATGCACTGAGGTAGGGGATGGACTTTGGGCCTCTGCTCACACCCACCCTCAATACAAGAATATTTTGTTCTAACCAATAGGCAGTCTGAGATGTTCACCCTCCTGACACAATTGCTGAAGACAAAAGGGGTGCAATAGCAAATATGGTAAAGAGGGCGGATGGTGCCCGGCTATTAAAAGATACAGCGTCTGGGGTCTTAAAGGCGTGAAGTTACACAAGCCACCATTCAGCAGTGAAGCAACAAGTCCACATGGAAGAAGCAGTGCCAGTGCGATCATGAGAAGTCATATGGACTTGGTAACTAGGCATCAGTAGATACATAACAAACAAAACATTGTTGAGAACGAGGGGGGCTGTAGCGGAGACCCAATGGCCATCTGTTAAAAAAAAAAAAAAAGAGATTAAAGCTGTGGGTATTTCCCCCAAAAAGATGCATGTGATGCTGTTTGGAAACTGAGTTTTTCTTTTGTTAAGTTAATGTGCCACAAGTTAATAGCTGAGTAGGTCCTAATGCCAGTCCTATCTACTTTATAAAAAGAGCAGAATAAGCATAGAGACACACACTGGGAATGAAAAACACCGTGTGAGGACCCTGTGCAAATAAAAGAACACCAAAAATTACCAGTGATCAACAGAAACCAGACATGAGAGAACACAGAAGGAATTAACATGACTGAGACGCTGAACTTTTTCCCTCTGATACCGTGAAAAAATAAATTTCGGTTCTTTATAGCCACCCATTTGTGGCATTTGTTAGGCAGCACTAAGATGAAGACTAAGTCTCAATACATAAAAGGCAGAGTCTGTTTAATTATAGTAATTGTGACAGTAAAGAATAGTAAGCAGCTGTTGAAAGGAAGATCAAAGATGTGGTAACATTGCCCTTGCTAATCAGTTCCTTATGTACTGAGGTTTTCAGGTCTAGGTCCTAGGGCTGAGCCTAAAGGAAGTGTCTTGACATTTTCAGTTGTTGAGGTTGACCAGTGATTCTCCTCACCCTCTGTCCCCTCCTGTTGAAAGGGATAATTGAATATTTAGCAAATACTGAAATTTTCTATCCGACCCCCCCAAAAAAAAGTACTAATTGGAATAGAGAGAACGTGATACAAATTAAGAGAAAGAATATAACTGTAGGAAATTATTTACAAATTAGTATGTTTCCTAAATGAATATTGGTTTGCACTCATATATAAGAATATTTTCAGACTTGGTTACATAGAGTTTCATAGCTATATGATTGTAAGATAGCAGATAGGCACAAATTAATAGAAAAAGTTCTAGTTCTAAGAAATATTTAGGTGTATGTGGAGACATATGCACTCTGTATACACATTTATAGGAAATAGAAAATCACCTCCCCACCTGTCACATAAAGTTCTTCAGTATTAATCAAAGTTATAGAAATCAATGTTTATTTGATCAAAAGTACAGCTATAACAAAAGAGGGTAACTGCAAGATAGTTTACAGTTACCCTATCCACTGGCTTGGGAGCAATAAGAGGTCCATATTTACACCTATTTTTCTTATTCAAAGAGATGTAATATTTACCCACTGTGTTTGAGGAGTTTATGTCTCCTCAGTTTTCACATTAGTATTTTTTAATCTGTGGACTGTGACGAGCATTAAAACAACCACGACTACAACAAAAAGAAAATATGAGTGTTGCATATGTTTCACTTATACGTGTAGGAATGTATGTCCTAAATCATGGCTTAAAGATGCATTTTTCCACTTTTCTTGGTTAACTTATAAGATGACACGTCACTGATAAGAGTGACATGTTATAAGCGTCACTGATAAACTAACCATATTTATGATAAATCAACTTTATCTTGAGAAAGACATCTCATTTGCTTCTAGTTTGGTGCTTTGCAACATTGTATGCAACATTTCCTTTTAAATTAGTGATGCAACGCTCCTTTACAAAAGTAATTTGTCAGAGATGTTAAATGTAGGATGTTAACAAATGTTAACAAATTACAAAAGTAATTTGTCAGAGATGTTAAATGTAATAAAAGCTTCTCTTTATTAATGGATAAAATTGTTTTCTGGTTCTTTCCAAGTAATATTTTATGATTTGAACTTATATAGGGACTAGTTCCTAGAAAATGATGAATTCTTTGTATACATTTTTTCTATTTATATTGGTAGTAACCTCAACCTGTATTGGCTTTATTTAAAGTTGGCAGGTTTATAAAAAACATGATTATAAAATTCTTTACTAAACTTTAAAAAATATTTTGTCTTGTAGTAGGAATTGTGCTTCGTGCACCTTGTTATAGCCATTTTTTTTTATATCCTATGAATGGAAAATTCTTTTCAGTCAATTAGCATCTCTTTTTGTGCTTCCTTCAAAAGCATTAAAGTTATTCCCTTTCAGGAATTTCAGCCTAATTGCTTTATTTCTTCTTATATTTTTAGTTTTTGCAAATACATTTTGACTTATTATAGATATGAAGGGGTTTCAAAAAGTTTATGGGATAATTCTATCATCTTTTTTTTTTTTTTAATTCTATCATCTTTTTATCCCATTTTTTCATGAACTTTTTCAAACCCCCCCTTGAATATTATTTAAATAAAATATTTGTATTGATTCATGTGTACATATAATATTCTTTCTTATAACAGGTTTATTGAAATTCAACAAAACCCCACAGAACAGATAGTTGTAAGAACCTTTGGTACTTTCCCACCCCCAAAGGATGATCAGGTTTTTAGGGATATTGATAACAATAAGCAATAATAATGAAAACTCAAAAACAAACAAAGGTGAATTAAAACATTTCCCCACTATCTGAAAGTAGAGAATTCCTATGAAACCTTTTGTAAACCAACATAGTGTAAAGTGGCGAAAAGCAGGCTCCAGGAATTGATGGAATACCAATTTAGATGCTTCAACAATTAGGTGTAATACTGAGACACATCATTCATCTATCTGTGTCAAGAAATTTGGAAGACAACTACTTGGCCAACTTGAGACTGGAAGAGAACCATATTAATTATTTTCCAAGAATAGTGTAATGGTTAAGTAAATTATCACACAATACAAATAACTACCAAACAATCAAATAATACATTAGTAACTTTTTACTGAAGACTATGAAAAATGGACTATAGCGTTACACTGACAAGGTACTGCCAGAAGTTCAAGCTGGATTTGGATAACAATATAGAACAAGGGATATAATTGCTTATGTCAGATGAATCTTGGCTAAAAGCAGAGAATAACAAAGATATTATCTGCATTGACTATGTACACACATTTAACTTTGTGGATTATAACATTATGGATAATATGAAGAATGGAAACTCCAGCATACTTAATAGTGCTCATGTGTAGCTTGATATGATTCATTGAATGAACAAGGGAATACTATGTGGTTTAAAATTGGAAAAGGTGTATGGCAGCAGTTACACTATTGGAAAAGGTGTGTGGCAGAGTGTAGTCTGTCACCTTGCGAAGGGGTGGAGTCTAGCTCTGTAACACATTCCTGTTGAGGAGCCATGTGGAGCTACACTGATGGAGCTAGAGCCCTGGAGCTGGAGGAACCACATGGAAACCCACGCCAGCGCTGAGATGCTTCCACCACCACTGGATCCACAAGACTTTCCACCCACCGGCCTGTGATCTTCCTGCATTCAGTGACATTGCATGCGTTGCGTGGGTCTGAAGATAAATTTATAGACTGGTATCAGGGCATTTGGGCTAATATTGGACTTATGGTCCTGATCTGGACTGGGCTGGGATGTTTTCTCAACGTACAATTACTGTTTGATATAAAGTTCTTTTCTATACATATCTGAGTCTTCCTGGATTTGTTTCTCTAGTCTACCCTGACACAGGGTTGTTTCTTTTTACAATTTAGCCTACATGTTAAGCAAATACTCTATGAACAGATTCATTATAACCTAGGATATACAGGTGACAAAACTTTACTTGCTGAAAATGAAGATGATTTGAAGAACTTATTGATGAAGGTCAGACACTAGAGTGCTAATAAATCACCAAACCTAAGGTAGTCTCAGGGACCAACATAGCATCAGCTTAAGGAATATTCTCAAGTGATACCTTATATAATTTTGATCTTCCCATCCTGCTCATTCTTGGAACTTAAAGAAATACTTCAGAATGACAATTAAATATCTTATAAACTAGATTAGCGATTCTCAACCTATGGGTCGTGACCCCTCTGGGGGTCGAACGACCCTTTCACAAGGGTCACCCGATTCATAACAGTAACAAAATTACATTTATGAAGTAGCAATGAAAATAATGTTATGGTTGGGGGGGTCACCACAACATGAGGAACTGTATTAAGGGGTCGTGGCATTAAGAAGGTTGAGAACCACAGAATTAGATACAGATACATATAAATTTTGGAAGAACTAATTTTTTGGAAAGTGTTTATTCAATTTTGAAAATATTTGCTTTACAACAGGATTTATACCAATAACATTATAAAAGTAATAAACTTATTGATTCATTGACTTTAGAAATTTAAGTTTATTTCAACTTTTATAGGGACATTTCTTCCTTTTTTATTAGGGACATTTTAATAGGGATGTTAATAGGATACTATTTTATGTCTGAATTGTAGTGGTATTCTGAAATCCAGTTTTATTTGTCCTGGGAAGTTGGTGTTCTGGGAAATGGATACTGTTGCTTTGGTCATTCAGTTCTTTGCCCCATTACTGCAAGATTTCCATGTTATTTATTTTAGATAGCTCATTTTGACATTTAGATAAACAGACGCCAAACACACAAGAATACCCAGAATAAGTCCCTGAACTTCATTCCAGGGTAAAGATAAAGGCATTTAAGCCTTCTCCAGTATAGATAAATATATTACAACTACTGAAAAATGGGTG